ACATTTTGCAGTGGGATATAGAGGAACAAGTAGTATCTTATGTATATAGAACCAAGCCAGCACAGGCAAAAACCTGCTTCATAATGCTCAATATTGTTTCCTATGTAAATCAATGGAAGAACAACATATTCCTCATAAAACACACATTCCAGCATACAACCACAGAACTAACAATAAAAATATCAGTGAGTAGATAAAAATGCCCCGTCCCCACCACGAGAAGTCATTAAAGTGCTACGCCATGTGTTAATTTAGCACAATTTATCCTGAGCATTTAAAAGGCACAATCTTCCACAGCCAAATTTGAGTCTGCTTTCTTATGAGCTGAGTGTGTGAGAATGCTTCCAGTTACCATGACATTTTAGACTGAATGCTAATGAATCGAGTTGCCCCACAAGAACTGGAGAAACCCAGCTTTATGAGTGGAGTGTTGTGTTGTGTTTTCACCCTCCCCAGGACCCAATGTAATGCATACTATTCAACATTTGAGTCACTTCCTTCATATAGTTTGCAGTCACACAAATCAGAGGAACAAAACTGGGGAGCGTTTGGAATGCAGTGTGGCAATAGAAAAAATGCTTGCTAGAAAGTAGAACCCTATCTGCCTATCTGGACAGAGCATCATATATATGCAGATGAGCCCCAGCAAAATCAGAGTCAGTGATGTCCAAAGTATTCACACTGCACCTCAGCTGGATAGCATTAGGTTTCTGTGGTTGTAATGCTGTTAAACCTAAATGAGATAACAAATTTAAAAGATTGCATTACCAGGTCCTGCTGCTTTAAAGACTTAGTACATTCTATTGATACTCCAAATACAGCTAGCAAAGTACTTTAATGGCCAATCAATGGGTTTAAACACACCTACTTCTACATAGGATTAACTGTTTGAATGCAGTATCTTAGATAATAAAGAACAAACACCATAACATCTACAAACCATAAAATAAAAATGTTACAGAGAAAGCCTGGCTAGAGTTCAAGGTGATTTTCCAAAATTAGGTTACTCATAACTGATTCATATAAACTATAAAAACAAAGAAACAAGGGCAGAAAAATGTATGAATCTTTATGAATTTTTATGAATTTATAAAAGGCAAAAATGAAATTGGGACCCTGGCTTTTATTTTAAAAAATTAAGAAACTATTTTGTACCACAAAAAAGAAAAATCAAAATTTCTTCATCAGTAGTGTGGGCAAAAATGCCAAGAAAAGTTAGTGAAAATACAACAGTTCTGAAATTAACCTTTTTCTTGAAGAACAGTTCAGATAAGGAACACACAAAGATCAAATATACTTCAAGAACCAGGGCTAACAACACTGTTTCTTTGTAAACATCCAGAAATTACAATAGAAAAAGAGAAATGTACAGAACCAGCTGGGGAAAGTCAAATGTTCAACATTAATGGAAAGTTCATTCAGCTGTCAAAAGTAGACTTGAGACTGTAGTCAATGGCAGAGAATTGTAATAAATCCCGTTAAAAGTCCAATAAGCACTATTTAGAGGTAAAGTTAGGTTCACTCCTGCACTAATGAATACTGTGTTAAGTAGAGCAGAATTATCGTAAGAGCTTTATGAAGAACCCTGCTGGATCTGTCCAAAGGTCTACCTAGTCCGAAATTTTGACGGGCCAAAGGGAATCCCAACACTAGACAGAGGTGCAATGGCTCCCCTGCCTGTGTTCCCAGTAACTGGTAAACTTGAACATGACACCAAAAGAAGTTCTTAATAGCGGTACAGATAGTCTTTCCTTTTTTAATACCATCCACAGGAAAAGGACAAAGCATACTAACAGCAAGCAAGTGAAGTTGAAGTTAATGTCATGATTAATGGAAACACAAGTACCGGAGCTGAGGCACAGAATGCAGTGGGGAGAGGAGTGAAACACTCGACCGAAGTTGAAAGAAGACAGATGCCTGCTGTTTCCTTCCTATCAGGAAGGAAGGGTACATTAGAAAAGTTGAAAATTCCAGCTGCAGGAGACAAGTGATGCTTAAAGATCAAAAATATTTATAGTTCAGCCAGAGCATGCAAGAAAGAGAAAAGTGAGAGAAAGCAAGAAAGGCTCCAGGGCTGCTTTCACACAATTCAAGGAACAGTATTGTGTAGGTAATATGGTATAAACACTCTTTCTAGTCTACTTTGCACCCAAGCCCAGCTGGTGTCTTGATTTTCGCAGCGGCCTTTGGTAAGTCCACAAGCCAGGCATGGCTTCAGCAGCCTTTTCCTATTTGTTATTCCCCTAAAACTGGAATTCAGACAGTGTCCTACTGGGTGTCCTATCTATTTGGATGAACTAGGTCTGCCTTCCCCAACCTGGTGGCCTTCAAGAGACATCTGGACCGCAACTCCTAGAATTCCCATCCAGCAGGGCCATTGAGTGGGGATTCTGGTTGTTGCAGTCCAAATGCGCCTGGAAGGCACATGATTAGGAAAGGCTGAAGTAGGTGACCATGTCTGCTGAGCGCCTCTCAGGAGCTGTGGAGGAAGCCTTGGAAACTGAAATGGGGAAGAGAAGGGGAGGACCTTCCAGCAACCAAGGGCAAGATGAGCTCCCATCCACACCTGCTGCATTCTCCCCGCAACCCACCCCTTGCTCCTGGTGCTAGCAGTGTGGGCCGCAGTGTGTCTTGTGCCCTGCTTCACTAGGGCTTGCCAGGGTTGACCAAGTGGGAAAGGAAACAGAGCTGCTGTTCTGCAGGCAGAGCCAGCTAACACTGAAATTAGAAGGGGCTAAGGAAAGGTTGAGAGAGAGTAGAGGAGGAGGGGGAGTGCAGCAGCTTCATACAGGCGAGAGTAGCAGTACTGGCCATAGTCCTCCCTGCTCTCAAGCAGTTAAAAGACAGCGGCTTCTGAGACTATTGCTGATAATGCCCCCCAATTAATACTGCTTTTCTCATTCCTTCTCTTTCATTTTCACTTTCTTCCTTTTTCTTACCCCCAATCTCTTTCTCTCTCTCTTCTCTTCTCCACTGCTTCTGCATTCCCCTCCCAATTATCTTCCTTCCAATTCCCTCCTACTCTTTCTTGTAAATGTTCACCTTCCTTTTTTCCCTTTTTCTTAACAGCTCAAATTTTGGGGAGCTTCCCTTGCACACACAAACACAGTCAGGATGTGCTGCCATGTTAATGGGATGAAGGGGATATGTAACTTGTGAATGGGAAGCATGGACAAAACAAGTCAGTTACTAAGGGAGGCCTTCTGAATTCAGTAGGACTTACTCCCATGTGAGAACGGGCAGAATTACAGCCTTAGGAAAAAAGCTTCCTTCCATATTAATACATTCCTTTGTACAACTGTAAAATCTTCCCAGTAGAGTAACTGCCCTCCTTCTCCTGCTTGCATCTTCACATCTGTCATTGTAATACTGAGCTGAAGCTGTTCTTTACTGGAGAAATGCTCATCCAACCTGGATACACATAATTGCTGAGACACTATATACTGTGTTTTGATTATGTTGCTGCTGTTGTTATTTACATTTCTATACCATCCATAGCTGAAACTTTCTGGGGAGTTCACCTATCCAGATTTCAACCAGGCCCAACCTTGCTTAGTTTCCAATATTAAGCAGGATTAGAAATGGAAGCTATTTTTGTTGGCATCTCATGTAAAAATCATGAAGATCTCTGTCTCAGATCCATGTTTTTGTGCAATTACAAGCACTAGATTTGCAATTTTTGCTGTGCAAGATAAAGACTTGATGTAAGATTTAATTAGGTGAAGATTTTATGTACCTCCAATTCATAGCAATCCGTTTCCAATTTACAAGATCAGACTTAACTTTTTGTCATTTCGTAGCTAGCCACGCCTCTGATGACAGCTACCTCTTGACTCAATATGCCTCCCCCAGCAGCCATGTTGTGGTGGTGCCCATGGGACTTTATCATATCTCCAAATGGGCCTGAAAAGGTGAAGAACCCTGCTTTATACAGTGCACCAAATAAAATGAGTTTTCCAGGGGTTGCGTAGGCACAGAAATGCAGGAACATACTGTAAGAAAATCTGCACTTGGATTATAGCTGTTCCAAATAATATGAGCAAGGATGAAGTTACAAATCATATTGAACCAGGTCCAGGATCCATCTAGTCCAGCATTTTGTTCACAGTGTGGCCAACAGGATCCCACATGTAGGATAGGAGGGAACAGCACCCTCCTTCCCAAATACCCCAGCAGCTCCATATGGATCCTGGAGACGCATTCCGGCCCCAGATGATTTAAAATGAGTGTTCTTTCCATGAACAAGTGTCATCCATTTCAGTAACACAGCAGGTTTCATAAAAAAAGCAATGGCACAGAAGATCTGTTCATAATAGAAGGATAAGAGCCGAGAGCACAAAACTTGCAAACTGCTCAATGGAAGGCTTTGTCAAGACACTTCAGCCCATCTAACAGAAATAATTAGTTTAGCAGGTTTTCAACAGGTGATGCGGGTCATGGCTTAGCGGTCAGTGCTTTGCAGGTAACCAAAATGGACAAGCAGCTTTTCAGATATTAAGCGTTATCAAAAAGCGACAGGAAGACTCACATACTCAGCGCACGCACACACACACACACACGTGACTGTTTAACATTTATTCTTTTTTTAAACCCTTTATTGTGGTCAAATGTTAGCACTATTACTGCAATACAGTGCTACTGTTGCACATTATACTTTACATAATAACAGAAAGAGGGGAGTGTCACTGCCCCAAGGAGCTTACAGTCTAAACTGTGACAGTGAGGGAGAGTGAAGAGAACACATTCAGAAGGAGAAGTAAAATGAGTAGGCCCAAAGTGAATGACTTGTACAGTGTTTACTGTGCTACAATATTTCACTTGCCTGTTAACTGAAAGGATTTTTTAAAAGTAATACAACTAGGCCATAAAAACTAAATTCTGTTAAATCTTGACTATTTGAAGGAGTTGCATAAATAAACTTAGAAAACAGCTAAGGATACTACCCCCAAGAGTATTCATAAATATTCTAAGAGTCTAAAAATGAAATATTAATTACCAACCTTAAAGCCAAAGTGTATGTTCCAGGTTGCCGTTGGCTTTCACGAATAAGGTAACTTCCCTCTGCTACACTCAGTAATTGATCTGCTTCTTCTCTTGATATCATCCCATGAAACCTGAAAAACAAAGAACATCTTTATCAGCACAATAAAAAAGAGCTGCTATGAAAGCAACACACACAAAGAAAAAAAATCCTTAGCCTTTTATATTTTGAATTTTAAAAATCAAGAAATGCATAATAGACTGAAGTCCTGAATATAGTTATGCTAATTTCTGCACTTTGCATACGGCTAGCTTGCTTTTTCCGAATGGTAAATCTTTGTATGTTTCTGTGCACATGCACACACGCACACTTACATATATAGAGTGAAAGAGAGGACTTATCAGCTCGTCTTATAGAGAGATGATCTTCCTATCTTGTGTAGTTTCCCAATGAACATTAAGGCTGCACATACTTCTCAACAATCAGACAGATTGACAGCATGTCCGGACCCCAAGGGCAGGTTTTATATTTGATAACAGTTAAATTAATCTACATAATTTGCATACATTTGTTCCAACAGCATGCAAACTGCCTCGCTCCCAAGACTGGATTGTTCTCTGACTCAAAAGTCATAAAAAGCAACATGTCATTGTTGTCATGGCACATTTTTCTAAATACTCATGTCACAGTAACAGTCACCGTGGCAAATGTCAGCACTGAATGCCGTATGTGGCAAATGACAACATTCGCACGTGGGAATCAATGAACCCTGATTAATTTTATGAACTTTCAAATTTTCAGAAATACACCACTGAATGTTGACAGTCCCCTCAATGAGGCAGTCAGCACTCGCCTCAGTGTGTGTCCAACAAGTGAGAAAGAAGACCAGGGAGTGCGGTCTCAGATGTATTGATTTATTTCATTGTTATACTGCCCAATAGCCAAGGCTCTCTGAGTAGTTAACAGAAGTTAAAACACACACACACACACACACACACACACACACACACAAATTGACATAAAACAACAAAGCCACAATAGCCATTGCAATTGAATGAGTAAAGAAACACAGCAGTGGTACAGGATAAAATGCAATACTAAAAATAAAGTTCAAAAGTTAAACTGTTAAAATGCTGGGAAAATAAAAAGGTCAGTGTATTTTTTGTATTTTTGTATTTATTGGTAATTTATTATGTTCTATTGTATTTCAATGTATCTTATTGTGTTGTAAGCCGCCCCGAGGCTTCGGCAAGGGGCGGCATAGAAATGTTACAACAACAACAACAACAACAACAACAACAATAATACCTGGCACTGAAAAGAACACAAAGGAGGCACTGGGTGCTCCTCTTTGGGAAGCTCATGCCACAGCCGAGGTGCCACAACCAAAAAGGCCCTCCTCCTGACAGCTGCCCACCTCACTTCCTTGGAAGGGGCTCCCAAAGAAGGACCCCCAAGATGACCTCAGGGTCCGGGTAGATACATAAGGGACAGATGATTCAGCTTTCACATGTGAATGTTGACATGCGCCAAACTATGTTCGTATTACACTTGCAATGAACTATGGGATAGACAGAAATGATGCCACAATCTGCATTTCCTCTGAGAGACAGCACGAAAGAATAGTGTCAAAAAGCATGAAAAAAGGCACAAGTAAACACTGGAAGTCCAGTCGTCTTGCACAATGTGCACAGGATACTCAGTAGCTAAGCCCCATGAAGCTCTATAGGTGACACTGAGCATGTCACTAATTCTCCATTCAATTTTCTCCCTGAGGAACTATTTACCTGTGTGCAATAAGGTTTGATTCCTTTGTGTGGGTAACACTGAAAACATTCAGCCTCCTGCCTGCAGCAGCCCAACGTTTAAGCAGAAGCTTTTCAGGTTGAATCTGCAAATTGCATATATTTACCCTAAACTGCTGATAGTAAACCTTATTTCAAAGAATGTACCTTTGACTGCCTTGTTATTTGGGTTTGTTAAATCAATTTAACAACACTTTCAAATGACTCTGAAGAAGATGCTTTTTCCCTACACACAGCCAATAAATTACAGTTACAACAAACTACAAAACTTCAATGTTGACTCAAACACCAAAGGGATAATTGCAAACTCCTAAATTTCAACAAAGACTACACTTAGACCTAAGAAGCAGAACAACCTTAATATGTGCGTAACTTCCTACTGAAAAATAAAAGATTAAGGATTTTCTTATGACTTGCTTGCCTGCATTAAGAAAGGATGCTTCCGATCCAGAGATATTTAAGCACTTCCTCTATCATCTACTGTGGTACCTTGGTTCACGAACTTAATTTGTTCCACGATTCTGGTCGTGAACCAAATTGTTTGTGAACCAAGTCAAATTTTCCCATAAGGTTCAATGTAAATAAGGTTAATCCATTCTGAACCATAACTTTATGTTATACATAAAGGACAGCATATAAAAGTTTTAATTAATAAATAAATACGTATTTTATTTTTAAAACCACAACAACATGAGTCATGTCCCTGGGCTGTGGACCAACCCGCAGCCACCATGCTTCTTCCCCCTGCGGTGGGGAAAGTAGGGAGGCACCCCACTCGGCCAGCTGTAGCCCCATCGCTCACCTCCCCTTGCCTCGGCCCGTGGAAAGCAGCCATTACCTCCCTCCTTGCAGCCCTCTCCTGGCCAGGAGAGCTGCCCCGCGCTCGCCTCCCCAACCTCCCGCTCCTGCTCCTCCTTCTGGAGCCGGGCGAGCGCATGAGAGGGGACCTTCCTCCAGCCTGGAAGCAGGGTGCTGGCGAGGAGCCGGGAAGGCCTCAACCAAGGGGAGCGCACCCTCATGGCTCCCCCTCATGTCGTGCTCTCCCTTTGGTGGGCGACGTGGTGCCATCTTGGGCTTCTGCTGCAGCCCAAGCGAGCGGAAGTTGGCCGCAGTCATGTTCGTCACCTGATGCAGAGTTTGAAAACAGAGGCAAAATTTTGCCAAACTTTCTGTTCACAAACCGAATTGTTCACAAACAGAAGTGTTCGTGACCGAGGTATTACCGTACTTCCCAATTTCACTGAGAAGCATGAAAACAAATTGGCCGCCATTTTCAGAAGGAGCAAAAGTGAAGGAGCTTCTACAGGGCTCGTTTTGTTTTGTTCTTAAAATTTTATTTTATTATGACTAATTTTGCCAAATGGAAGCAGGCTATGTGTGCAGTCAAGCACTTTGCTCTGTGCAAGTCTGACAGGGGTACTGCCATCACAAGCAGCGGAGAAATCTGACTTGACTACTGAAGATGTGCATGTCAACATTTCATTCTGTGACCTAAGCACAGCCAAATTAGATTGTCTCTGTCAAAACCCCCAGTGAATTACCAAATAATCTTATCTCTGCGTAAAACCTCTGGATTCTGCAGGACAAACTGAGATATTTTATACACACAGGAGCCACTGGGCACAGCTTTTATAAGTGTACTTGATTTAATAGTGGCTGTTAGGTCACAACATTATTACTTACTCTCGTCCATAGTATTTTGGTCTGTTCTCCACCTATTGAAAAAGAAAAGAGGGATAACAATTTACTCAGACAATATAGCTAACATGAAAAGTTATTTTCATTTATTATGTAGCTTGCATTCTGATGAGCTGAACAAAGTTAAGGTCTGATAATATCTTCAACAGTTAACATGTAAAAAATCTTGATGAAGCACTACGAAATACCTGATTTCAAATAAAAGGCAAAGGCAAAGGAAACACTGTTCCTAATTTTTTTTAAATGCTGTTCCTACATTATTTTTGGACACCATAATGCTTTCAACAGATAATAATAATGTATATCATTACGAACCTCTTCTCACCTTCCTTATTTTATGAAATTCATTTTCATGAGGGAGGTTTTGCAATGCCCATAAGAAGCCACCGTGTGAGCCATTGCATGTGACCACAGTGACTGTGGACTGGCTCAGTAATAAATAAAAATGAAAGCAAGCGACACAGAAGAAAGGGGGCTCCCACACACCCCCATGTCTTCCATCCCATGCAGCTATCGCCCTGGGGGTGCAGTGCCTGGGCCTCAACCGTGTTTGTGCATATGAAGAATAAGGCAAGCATGCATGGGCAGGCTGGGGGGAAGGGCAGATGTGGGTATTTCTATGCAGGGAGTAAGCAGAGCCTGCTCGAGAGAACAGGTGCACGTATTGTTCGGACGCACAACGTATCCCTGCTCGACAAGAAGGCCCATGCGTCTGTGTTAGCCCCTGGCAACACCACGGTAGCATTCAAAGATGAGGACTACCACACCCTGGCACGGGAGCAGACTACTTAAGCCTGACTTTCCTTCTGGCTTCTGGAGACCTGAGCTGCTGCTTTGCAACAAGCTGCCCACACGCTGGGCATTTCAGGGAAGGAGTAGAGGGGATCTAGAGGGAGCTTGGTGTGTTTGTTTGTGCAGATATGTATAAAGGAAAAATCTTCAGTCAGGGGGAAACACCAGACTGGCCTGGCATTGGCTATTAATATCCACTGATAAAATGGATGCAGACCAAAGGGATGCTCATGCATATTTAGAAACTGAATGTGAAGCTGTGGGTTAGAGAGTGAGAATATAGTTTACATACATGGGGTGGTGGTGGAAGTGTTTACACGTAACGCTACACAGTGCCACAGTGTCTCTTCTTGCTGGTCTCAGAGTGTAGGACACAGAATAATCCGTTCAAGTTGCGATGACCCAGAGTCAGGCTAGGCATCAGCAAAAGCTTCCTCCCTGCCAGAGCAATACGACACTGAAACCAGCCGCCTAGAGAGGTGGTGGGCTCTCCCACACTAGAGACATTCAAAAAGAACCTGGGCAGCCATCTGAGTCGGATGGTGCAACGTGGTGTCCTGCAGCAGCAGGAGGTCGGACCCGATGGCCTTCATGGCCCCTTCCAACTCTACTATTCTATAATTCTCTGATTCGATGTATAACTATGCTATTTTGGACCTACTTTTGGATTTCAAAAGCAGATTACAATACATTATGGAGGGTTCCTCTTAATTTTTTTTAAATTAAGGGTTCCTGCAATAGCAGGGGGTTAGACTCAATGGCCTTCATGGCCCCTTCTGACTCTACTATTCAATGATTCCATGGTCTCACCTTCTCTCCCGGAGTCAGACATTTGTGTGGTATCTACTTATGAGTAGTTTCCACAGCCCGCCATCTTCCATCCAAATGGCAGCACATATCCCAGAAGCCCCCACAGCTGGGAATCCATCCCAGGATTATTATTATTATTATTATTATTATTATTATTATTATTATTATTATTATTGTTATTATTATTATAACATTTCTATGCCGCCCCTTGCCGAAACCTCGGGGCGGCTTACAACATGATAAAATACATTGAAATACAATAGTACATAAGGATACACTGCTTCTGTCAATCTCAGCCTCACCTGCCTCTCCTCCATTGGCCAACACACTCCCTGGGCATGGACTCTGCCAGCTGTCATTCTCCACACCCCACTGCCCAGTGGAGCCATTGTCTGAGTAAGATGATTCTTCTGCAGGAGCAACAGAGCAGCACCCCTCATGGCTGCCACACACCCTGCCAATGCATAAGTATCCTCCTGCACACCTGCACCCCTCCCTGCCCCCTTGCAGCACAGGGGCCGCACATGCCACAGGGGCCGCTCGTCCCAGCAGCCTGGCCCAGGGATAGCCATGGCTCAGGCACTGGTGTCAGGGATGGAGAGCATGCCCTGCCAGGCACATTCTGCCAAGGATGCCTCCGTGGGCAGAGGAAACCTTTCCCAGGGACTCCTCAAACCTGGTACCTGCCCTGGTCCAGCTAAATACTAGAGTCCTGCGACATGTCCTGCAAAGACACTGGAGAAGTCCTGAAGAGCAAAGCTGCCTTGGCAGAAGTCAAGACTGAATATGGCAGCAATGCACCCACACAACCCTGGTTTGCTGAAAAAATTCAAATGACGGGGTGTCACCTTAAATGATATTGCCATGTGGCCTTGACACAGGAAACCCACTGAGCACGGCTGAAGCACAGTGCAGGGCGATGCTCAAACACACGGCCCCCCACAGGAACCAGTTTCACAGGAAAGACACAACTGCGTCTTCACCGTCCACAGAGGGCTGCTTGGGACAAGGTTGTCTGCAGATCCTGCTCACTCAGCCTTGCTGGTAATTAGCACCACATTAGGGTAAAGCCTTATTATGCAGCAAGAAGGGGCAGCCATGTTAATTAATTCAATCATTTGGTCCACTTGATATCTTTTCACTTAAGATTATTTTAACTGCATGGTGAGATGCCCAGCTGTGACAGGAAAGGCCATCTTGTGTGTGTTTATGCCACATGAACAAACCCACGGCAAAGCAACAGAAATGTGTCTGGCTTTTTTTAAAAAAGCAGTCTTTGGGAATGTCAGTTTAGAATCAGTATATTAAATCAGATGGAGAGATTCGTATTTTATTTTCCCCAGTATGCCATCTCTTTCCTATAAAATTAATGTGTCTACAACATACTTTGTTTCTTTGTCTGAGACCAGCTTTGGATGAGCATGAACTTACTGGTTTTTATGCTGCTACGACTGGACAGAACGTATCTCAGAAATGCTCTGCAGTTCTACCATTATTCGATTTAAAGCTGCTCTATACTGACATAGGCTTCACCCAAGAGAAAGCTCAGTCTGAGTCCCTTAATCACAAGACAACTGAATTTTCCAAATGACCTGGGAAATCTCTACACACTCAGATAATGAGGAGGCCAGGTAAACAGAAGCGGGATTTGTGAAGGCTTAGTCCTACCCATTGCACCATCTTGCACAGGGAATAACTTTCTGAATAGCTTACTGCTTCCATATAGTCTGAAGCTCCTGATCCTGCTTAATTGTGGAAGCTAAGCAGAGTTGGGCCTGGCTGAAATCTAGATGGGTGACTTAATGTTGTGAATCACCCAAAATGCGTTGGCCACAGGAGGTATGGAAATGTAATGAATAAGAAAGAAATGTATTTCCCCTGACATGGTATTGTCTCCCTTTGGTCTTCCCTGCTGGTGCCAGATCAAGTGCTACACCCCACAGTAATACCCATGTGGTCAGTCTCATGATTCTTCCTTACTCCTCGGGCCCAACAAAATGCCTGGCTGGTCTAGCGCTGAAGAATCAACAAAGGAGGCAAAGCTGGGGTTGTTGTCCAGGATAAGCATTTTTTCATGCATGGGGCTAGTACAGAAATGCACTGTATCATGGGCCCATTAGGAGAATCAGCATTTTACATTAATAGTCAGAGAACGCTGGCTATCAGGTGAATCACAAATACAATTAACTCAATTTAGATCATGTGAACTCTACTGAATACTGTATGTGTAAGGGGTGTTCTCCTCTCAGTTGCATTTACTCTGCTCCAGCTTTCCCCAACTTCCCTTTCTCCCTAGAAACTGGGCTCACCCCTTGGAGTTGGCAGGAGATTCAGGGCAGATAGGAGGAGCACATTCTTCACAAAGCACATAATTAAACTATAGAATTTACTTCCACAAGATATAGCGATGGCAACCCATTTGGATGGCTTTAGAAAAGGCCACGACAAATTCAGGAGAAAGGAGGAAATTGAGAAGAGAAGGCTAGTATCCTGGCATAGTGGACTGATGGCTGAATGCTACCACTATCAAAGACAGTGTGCCTATGCGCACCAGTTGCGGGGAACTTGGGTGAGAGGGGGCTGCAGCACTCCATGTCTTGCCGCAGGCTTCCCATGGGCAGCCGGCTAGCCTCTCTGTGAACTGTATGCTGGACTAGATGGGCTGTTGGTTGGATTCAGCATGACTCTTCCCATACTCTTAAGCTGGTGCCCCACCAGAACTGTTGCACTACAGTTCTCAGCATCCCCCAGCCAGTCCAATACATCTGGCGGGCTTCAGGTTGGGGAAGTCTATTCTGCTCCTTTCCAAAAAAAAGGGGCAGAATAGGCTTCCCCAATCCATTACACTACATTGCACTACACAGAGCTTTCCCATGATTCTGTCCCTTCTACACAGTAAAATACTTATTTCTCCCTACTAGAATGACAGGTTTCTCTGAGTACAGCTTCACTTTCTGTTGCTTCTAATACAGCTTAACAATTCAATTACTTTGAGAGGGCAGTGCAAGCCCCCTACTCCCATCTCCCTGCTCTTAAGCCCTTGGGGAACCCCAAGCTAAAGGCCAGCCAAAAGATCAAAAAAGCAAACCAGAAAGGTCAAGTCCATTGCCAACGGAACATCACTGAACATCTCACTACTGTGCAATTGCATGGCATAATTTGGGGTCCTTGGATATACACACACAGCTGCTTAAAGGTACGTGTATAGCACCTCGTGTATGTGTATATCACCTGCATTCTGCTGCTCATGAAGCATCTGATTTTTGCATACCCTGACCTGGTTTGCACAATCCAATCAGCCAAGGGGGGCTGTGGGCCTCCTTGTGAGGTCTGCAGCCAGCACGGGTGATTCAGCACAGTTCCTTAGCAGCACACCAGTCTCCCTGCAAACTCATGCACTGTTGTTGGTCTCTTCATTGGGGCTTGCTCTTAAGGAGGCTTGTTCGGGCACCAAGCAGCATGGCAAGTCAGTGATTTCTTGGCTGCAGAGCAGACTGGCCAAGTGTGGTGAAAAATTTGGCTATTGCTTGCAATCTCATGAAGGCTGCCTCTAGCCTCTCTTATCAGTTTTGTCCACCTTGGAAATGTCCTGAATGTGTTCACATGCCCTCCCTCCCTCCCTCCCTTCGGTGCTATTCAAATGTGCAAATGGATATGTAGGTTTTACTATCCTTTTCCTAGTCCCTAACAAACACACAAGTGCACAGAGTCACTTGTTTGCTGTGTACAGTCTGCAACAGTACAACTGCCTTGTCAACTGCCTAGTAAATTATCTACTCTGCTTCTTGACAGTGGATGCCAAAAGGTGAATCTGTGCACTTGCAAGAGGGGGAAAAGTAACAATTAAAAATATTATGAACCCATTTGCGCACCTGAGAAGGGAGTCAATAAACTTCCACTTGTCAATTTCATCCTCCATTACCTCTTGAATATACACTTAACAGTTTCCTCCCCCATTTCAGTGCTTCCCTTAACTGAAAACTTGGAAGCAGCATTTGAACGAAATGAAACTATTGGAGTGGGCAGATTTAATTATTATGGATGTACTGGGTGTAGTTACTGAGCAAATGTGTTCATTTTTAAATTGTATTTTTTTCTGTCATTCGCAAGTGAGAAAAATCTGCAAAACTATTTGCATACTTCCAAAGTGCAAGAGGGGGAAAAGTAACAATTAAAAATATTATGAACCCATTTGCGCACCTGAGAAGGGAGTCAATAAACTTCCACTTGTCAATTTCATCCTCCATTACCTCTTGAATATACACTTAACAGTTTCCTCCCCCATTTCAGTGCTTCCCTTAACTGAAAACTTGGAAGCAGCATTTGAACGAAATGAAACTATTGGAGTGGGCAGATTTAATTATTATGGATGTACTGGGTGTAGTTACTGAGCAAATGTGTTCATTTTTAAATTGTATTTTTTTCTGTCATTCGCAAGTGAGAAAAATCTGCAAAACTATTTGCATACTTCCAAAGAGTTGAAAATAGTTTTTGAAAGACACTACAAACAGAAACATTGCTCGGAAACAACTGAAGCGAGATGGGAAGCCAGAAAAGATTCCCTTCTCCGCAATGAGGATATGACAGAGATTGTGCTGCAAAGGATGTTGGGATACATGCAATGAACAGGCTGGGCTAGGGGAAAAACAAACCATGGCAAGCTGCAGGCAACCCTCTCTGCTATGTGAATAGGAGAAAGGCTGAACCTTACATCTAAAAGATGCTTATCCTGGAAAACTAAAATGAAAGCTTAACATTAGTGACTGGCTACAATTAAATGATTTAGAATCTCTTTGATAGTAAGAACATACACAAGTGAAACAAAGAAAAAAAAGCATTTGTGAAAATACCCTAATATTTTAGACACAGCTATTATGTGTACAGCAGGGGAATCTTGACCAAATTTGTTTTACCGAGCTTTTCAGAACCGTTCAGGACCCCCAGGCTAATGCAACCGTAAATCCAATTTCTGAATAAACATGAATTTAATTGCCTTCTTGATCTAAGACCTCAATTCCTTCGGAATTCCAAATAAAGAAAAGATCAAATGTAGGTCTGTTTCTTAAAGCTTCTATAATATTCATCATGAGACATTCTGGGTATGTCGTTTAGTGGCTTCAAATGTATTGGATAGCAACTCCCAGGTGCTGTTATGGGAAATGCCATCCAGCACAACTGGATCACACTGTGTTGGGGAAGACTGCCTTACGCTATCGTCTTCTACTGCAGAGTGGGAAACTGGTCCTTCAGCTCCTGTGAGCCCTTACCATTGGCTGTTTCTGGATGTGGTTGATGGGAGCTGTAGACCAAAACATCTGTATGGCCACAAGTGGTCCATCCCTGTTCCCCAGCAATGACAGCAATCTCAGCTGTAGACACTCTGGCTCCTGCTATGTAGTATCATAACAGCCTCATTAAGGCCACATCGTGGGTGTTTGGAAACCAAACCAGCACTTACCACTCATCTCAATTTTACTATCAAGTCAGCTTGTCAATAGTCACCAGCCTATGACAAGTATGAACTACTTTCCGGCAACAGGGCAATGGCACTTTAGTGCTCTTAAGCTGTGTCAGGCCAAGGAAAGACTACACAAATTGCAATGCTGGGCTTTCATATAATGTATTAATCATTATACCATCATTAAATCATTCCATAATTTACATGTGGATGCTCCTGAGTCTTGGTGTCGACTCTCACAAATGTGAGCTTGATTTATTTTCTATAATTGCTCCCAAAGTTATTTCTAATACCAAATACTTTGAAGTTTCTATCTTACTTGGTTTCTACTAGCTGTTGCTAATTAGGTCAGTGCACCAGCTTTCAGGTAGAACAGAGGTGGGGCAACTGCAGTCCCCCAGATGCTCTCAGATTACAACTGATGCAAGTGTGAGTCCAACAACATCTGGAGCATCGCGAGTCCTCAAGTACCCAGGTACATCTTTTGAGCTCAGGGAAACTGGAATGCAACATCAATTGCTGCATATGGTTTCATCTCCGACTAGGGATATACACATGAAAACCTGCACCTGAGCTCATTTACCCTCAACTGGTTCAGAGAATTTATGAATTATTTGGGTCACTGAAGAGAAGTTTCTGTTGCACTGTAATTTGTATCTCAGTTTCAGAGTTAGATTGTGTTGCACATGCTTATTATCTTGCAAGAGAAACCCATTATTAGGCTATGCACAAATAGGATGTAAAGCTAATTTCTCCTGATCACATCTTCACAAACAGGAATCAGCTTTAGCTAGATAAATATTCAAATGCCTGCCAAAGCAATACTGGCAGAGATCAGTGTTTCTTTAACATCATGGTGTACTTCACACCTGTTAGAGTGGTATTTTTCATCCTAGGGGTTTAAGGCATATTTGGAAGAATTGCAACTGGCATCTCAAAGACAACTGCAGAAAGAAACTCCTACTTAATTCAGTAAATTAATCCTGTTTGTGATCTAAGCGGTATAAGCTATTAAGACCATGACAGTGCCATGCTCCCCTGTATTTAAGGCTATGTCAAAATGACAAACACATTTCGAAGATTAATTTCCCCTTCCCTTGGGTACATGATGAAAGTGTTGCAATAAAATTTAAAACTTTAATCATTTTCAGGGCCTATTTAGCATGAATGGTGTTTTGTAGCTGCACTATAACAAGTCATATCATATGCTGAAGCATATTAAAAATTGAAATTTATGTTACTCTGTGATCCAGCAGCTTACTGTAACATAAAGAAAACTGTTCACTGAAAAACAGAAAGACATCAACATGGTGATCTGAACTACCAAATTTGTAACCTTAAATGAGTTCAATGTTCCCTAGCAGGATGAGAGAGAAAACTGGACTGGGCTATCCTTCTCCCTCACTTTCTTATACCACCAAAGGGATTGGACTGCACTGATCATCTGTGCACTGAAGATAACAGGAGGAAACACCTGGATTCGACAAAGAAGCAACCAGTGAAGTGGGCACCAAAGAAGTTTTACATGCTGCATCACGGAGAATCAGATCTCGAACGATAGGATGATCCAAGCACAAAAGCCTGTTTCCATGCAGGATCACAATAAATTAGTCTGGCCACATGCATCATCTAGAACCTGTACCCCTCTGTATGTTACACTGCACCTCCAACATGCCCAGCTGGTAGGACTACTGAGCAGATCAAGAAATTATAGTCCAGCAACATCTGGAGGGTCACACTCATCTAGAGGAATGCAAAAGCCCACAATTTGTAAATATGGTATCCCAATGTTTGGGAAGGTTCCTCTGCCCATGCTTGTAGATCTGGTTTACACTCAAATAGTTGTATGTGTATCTGTACCCTGTGAGTCCTGTTCTCCCCTAGTTACACACATACATGCAGCTGACAGCTGTCTCTACCTGAACCAGCGAGCGGTTGATGTAATAATATGAGGAAATCAAAAGACTGCGTCACCATGATACAAACCAATATATTTTAAAGCCATGTTTTCCCTCAGTAGTGAAAGACCAAACTAGGTGAAGATAATAGCAGCTGCAGGAAGATTTTCATCAAGACTATGATGGTAAGGAAAAGATTACCCCTTCCCGTGTTCTGCAGTGCCAGTGAAAATCGTTCCTTGTCCTTCACCAACTATTACCTTTTAAGAAAACATGGACATGGTTGCTAAGAAAATGTTGACCCCCAGATAAGGCTGCAATAAGGGCTTCAAAGATTATATAATATATACATTTATACAGTTACTAAAATATTAAGTTAAGCAATATTTTCCTTTCAGTCAAAAATAATTATGCAGGTTCTCAGTATGGCCAGATTTATCTTGCTGGAAGGGTTGGTGCCAATTCTTAAACTGCCAGGGTACCTTGGTGGCCCCTTCCCCGTGGCTCGGTCTTGCGCCCTTGCTGTAACATCTGCATGCAGGGAACCACATCGATTCATGAAGTTACTGAGCTACCTGCCAGACTACCATCAATCATCTCTGAGTAGATGGCAACCTTAGTTCTTTCCTCATACATTTCCAGTCCTCCATGTTTGACAAGATTGCAGACTTCAAAGAAAGGTGTGTGAACAATAAGAGTATAAAGAACATGAATGCTGCTTAATGTTTAAAAAAAAAAGAAACATCAAACAGTCAGGGCCAGTCCTAGTTTGAAGAGACTTCCAGTAAAATGCCCCCTGCAATGGTAATGCATCCCCCAGAAGGCTTACCTGGCCACAGTGGCATTTCCCACAATTCTCAGAGGCATTGTGGAACTTCACAGAATGGTGGCTACAGGGGAAGTAAATCATGTGAGGCTCAGGGCACACAACATGGGTTCTGCTAGTGTACTGTGGACTGGCTGAACTAGACTGTAAGGTAAAGAAACATGCTCAGTATTCAAATAAGGCCACAGTGTCTTCTAGCTTTCATGATACCCACCTCAGACGTGCAGGTAATCCTTCTAGGATGGGGAGCTTCTTGTTGCAACTGATATACTAGAAGAAGGCAGAGGTAAAAATGGGTTTCATTTTAATGCTTAACAGAGAACTGATTTCAAGGCAAGCATTTGAACATTAGTTACCTTGTGTTTGCATTGTTTAATGACATTGAAGTCTCTCTACATTAGCGACCACAGTCTCCATGTTCAGTTTATTCGTGTGCTACTTCTCCATTACAAATTATAATGGAAAATATGTAAGGTCCAAAACATAACACATAAGAAATTCAGAATAAAAACTATCACATAAGCATTATCAAAATATCAACATGAACTGGAAAGGTGGGGAAATCAAATCTGTGGCTTTTATTCCATCCCCAGCACCTTACTATGTAGCGCACCTGCACAAATCTCCATGGATTTGAAAGATAACTGAAGGTAGCCAAGCACATAGGAAACAGTCGACAAAAATACATTGGTTGCCAACAAGATCTCATTACAATAAAGGCCAAACACTCTTAATATTATGGGTTGTGGTATACACTGCAAAGTGAACAAACAAATGAACAGAAAAGACAAAACATTCACTTTCTTTGCAAAAGCTTTTTTTCCCTCTAGCGATTTATTGTTCTTATTCTCATCTGGAGACAACACACATGTATTTCTTCATGACAAATACTGGATGTATGACTGTTGTGATTAATGATGTTTAATATAAGTGACACAATGAGTGCCAATTGTATCCTTTAATCATCAGCTTGAAGACAAAAGCCTGCTTCAAGTCACTTTGCGTGTTAATGGTTTTTTATTAAGCGACTGGCTTGGCATGTGACAAGCGACTGATATAATAAGTTATGACTCAAAAGCTGCACAGTGGGACACTTAAGGAGCTCTGAAGCAGACAAAGGTTCTGACAATAGCGATTATGTGATAGCAGCTGTAGGCAGGGGAGTCTTAAAAGTACTGCAATTCTTTCAGGGTTCTGAAGAGAAAAAGCCTGGACACAAATGAAATGAGGGCTGGCATTGCCTTCATTTTGGTACAGAACAGGCGTAAATCATGGTGGATATTGCAATAAAACACTGATCAGTACAATAGGTGGGTCATGTCCAAGCAGGAACAAATGCCCTAAACCAAAATCAGATGAGGGAGGCGTGTTCTAATTCCTAAAACCTGCCCACCCCCCATATCCTTTGATCTATACCTAGCAATTTTCAGATGCTGAGATCAAACGTGGTGCTATCTTTCATTTTTTCAACTTCTATTTATAAAAAAGCACACAAGCTAACAAAGTTACACCAGAGTCTGTCTTGAATGATATCCAATTTTGCTTTTATAAATCTATATCCCACTCCCAAGGGTCTGGAAAATAGTATTATTCAGCAGCATCATTTCAGTATTTGAGTTGTGAAGGTTTTTGTTTGGTTTTGCTTATTCTCCAAGCTATACAAGAGACCACATGTAGATTTAAAATAAGGACCAATCTATTTAATGACAATCTCCAAACTTCTAAAACAGAATTTGGCAGAGGCAGATTTTGGTATTCTCAAAGGAGGCTTTATCTGCAAGAGAGATGATGCAAAGTTTAACATTATGCCCCCTGCATCACAACATACCACAGTAGCTAATCACGAAACTTTGCTTTGGATGCCATGGTTTTCAAATCCAAGGTTTAGTTTTCACATGACACCAAACCATGGTGTGGCTTGTTGAAATCTGGCTTGTCAAAGACACAGTTTGCATATCATGGCAGCAAACCATGCGGGTGATATATGAACCCTGCAATTCACCTCCATGAATGCATTCATAGGCTGTTAATAAGGCATGCAAAACTGAATACACTGTGTTGTTCATGCAGGTTAAACCTAAGAATTAACCTAAGCACAAACTGTAGGTTATCTCTGGGTTGCTTATAACTTAAACAAGCGACCAAGAATATCCAAGTTTGAATGTAACGGGTGTTCACCATTTGCTAGTAACCAAACTTACAAATGGGTGTTCACAGCTTGTTCTGCAACTCTAAAGTGGTTTGAACAATTTGCTGCCATGATGTACAAATGAACTCAAGGTGTCGAAACCTGCCTTGCAAACGAACCATCAAATCATAATTAATTAACCAGCTGCAAATCACAAATACAACCCATGGTTTGTTGCCAGCTTACAAAGTCTGATTTGTTTAAGCCATAGCTTGTTGAAATGTCTGCACCCAGAACTGTATCTTGCCCCTGGCTTGTTTGTGCTGCTGTCTGCCCTGAAACAGAAGCAACCAAGTAAGGAGAGCCTGAAAGAAAAAAGGCCACTCTGAAGCCTGGCAAAACAAGCAAGAGAGAAACAAACTAAGAAAAACAAGTCCCAGTTTGTTTGCTTGTCTTCAAAACAATTCATGGCTAAAATAGCAAACCATGATTAATATAAGCCATGATTTAGTGTTACTTGTGAATGCAGGTAACTGCCTTATTTACAGGGGATATTCACAAAGTGTTGCATAATAACAGAAACATATTTGCATTGGTGAGTTGATGAATTTAAAATTGTTAACAATACAGGAGGGATGTGAGTGTGCAGGTTAAAGGGATGGTAAAGAGCAATAAAATTGAATCAGATACTCACAATAAGATTTCCAAACAGGTGGCCTGTATTCATCAGTATCTGAAAAGAGAATGATACTCATATAACACTACAGCAGAAAAAACACTATTCTACAGCAGGTACTGTACAGTAGAGGAATTAATAAAATGCAACAGACTGACATTCAGAACATTTTAATTTCACTTAATAATTTCATTTTTCCAACAGTTCATTTTGCCTAGATGTATTTAATTTAAAGCAAACTCCAAAACCTGACAATGAAAGCTGGGTGGAAAAATGATAGAAAAAAACTACAATAACAAAGTTGTCTTTCTCAACTGCAGGTTCATTGAGAATAATGAAATGGAAAATATGAAATTTACAAAAGAAACACTGGCTGTGTTTCTTTATAAAAGAAACACTGTGTAGCAGCAAACAGCAAAGAAATGTTTGCTGCTACACGCAGATCTTCTGTCAAACGTTTGTGCTGTTGCTTCTCCTGGCCAGGCTCTGAACTAGCTCTTCAGGGCTCCCAGGTGGCATCATTTACAGGTGCCTGCCGCTATAGCTGTGCCCAGGGAACCATCACCAAGGTCATCCTGTAGTTTAAGAGACTCACCAGTTCTTTACCTTTGCATAGATCAGATTTCGTTCAGATTCTTAACATTTATCTTATGACTTCCTGCTTAGTCTTTATTTTAATATTGGTTTGTTTGTGTGCCTTATGTATCTAGCAGCATTTATAACTTAAAATAGTATTTGTAGTGGTGTAACTAATTATACGTGTCCCAGGTACATTTTAGTTGATTATATATATATGATTCTGCTCCCATCCCTTCTCTTCCTGCACTTCTGCTTTAAGTCAAATGACTGCCACCAGCTATATATCTGTTTGGTCACAGAGCCACAGTTCACTATTCTTTCACTGAGTTTGCACAATCAAGAAAGCAGAAAAGCTTCAGTAGCTTCTTTTCCCTGCATGGCCCTTGCCAATGGCCTGCTGCCTCTTTTAATCCCCCACACCACGCTCTGGTGACCATAACATCTGAACATGGTGAGCCGAGTGCCAGAATGGCATCTCCTAGGGTTCTGGGGTTGTTTGGAAACTGCCCTTATCCATCCTCACTGGATTCAGGCAAAGCACGGGTTATTATGAAAATAAGGTGGCATTCACATGGCAGGGCAAAGGCGCCACTGTGACTTCTTTTATTTCTTGATCATGCAAGCCCACTTGTTGACTGTCGCATTAAATGTGGATGTGCACGTATAGAATGGACTGATGCAGAGCAAATAATGTGGGGTTTATGGAGCAGAGAGCGCTTTCACTTGATTTCAACTCAAACACAATGTTTTCAGGGGGAGACGGACATATTAACAACAATTAGGCAAAGCGCACCCATGTATAAACCAGTCTCTACACTTGATGAAACTTAAGCAGTGCTTTAATTAAACTGCTGGAGAAGACAGTTTGAGCAAAGCTTGAACCTTCCTCCCATACCAGCAATGTACGTGTGAATATTCATTTTTCTAGCAAATGATTTTAGTGAGGAACCATGTGTTCAACTATATGAATGCACACAAAGTCTGCAAATACCTCTTGCCTGGACTGGCAACACTACAGATACATCTTCATTAAAAGAAATGAAGATGACTTAACTGAAAAGCAAGACTTTCTTTTTGCCAAAGTAAAGCATCTTGATTAAGTTTCAAACAAGCAGCAAGAAACCTTTGCATTTAAGCTAATATTTATAATTGTGAAGCTGGAAGGAGTGATTTATGCCATGCAGGTGTTCAGAAATGTTTTGTTTTGAAATACTGCCTACATGTTTTACTGCCTTAATGCTGTTTGCACAACCTCGGGCCAAAAAATTATCCAATAAACATACTACATCAGTGACAACTAAGCAAAAATGTTATGGGGGTGGGTGGTTCTAGGCATTTTAGAGCATGTTCACATATTATTTTCAGATCAAACAAATAGCACTTCTTAATATTCTTTTTTAAATGAGGATGCTGCCAGCTCATGATGCACAAATCCAGCTTTGGGACCATAAAAATGGGTACCAGGCCCTCAGAGGTTGGACACCCGTACTTCTTGTCTAGAAGCTCAGTCAAATGTACAACAGGGCACTGCTGAATACTTGCACTAAAGGAAAGACCTATAAATTGCTTCCTTTGGTAGTCAAGTGAAGAAAACAAGGAGACAGAACTATCCATTAAGATCACAAACTAATCATTAGCAGCAGTTCCTAGACCAGCGAACACCTGACAAGAAACTAGTTCAGTGACGAAGCAGAGCAGGAAAAAAAGGGTGGAAGTTGAAATCAAGGATCACACGTGGAGAATTTTCCTCCTTTGTGCTTCATGCTCCACCCCCAGATCTGCTCTGTCTGGAAGATCCTTTGGAGCAGATTTGGCGAGTGTGTGAGGGTAAGGGGACTCACTCATTCCTATTCTGTTGATGGATGGTATCCCATCAGTGACAGGGGCTAATTCTCTGTGGGGGCGCCCAGATTGTGTCATGTGCTCCCTGGAGAGGTTCACCTGGCGCCAAGCCTATATTCTTTTCAGCGCCAGGTCAAACCCTTTTTATTAAAGCATTATTTTAAAAATTAGTATTTTAATGGTTTTAACAGTCACCTTTGATTCAATTTATTTTTATTGGTTATATATTATTTTATTATACTGGTGTTGATTTTTATTGGTTTCTGATTTCAATAATGTAAGCCATCCTGAGATGCCATACATAAAGGACGGCATATAAAAGTTTTAAATAAATAAAAGTCCTTGTATTTACCTATGATCAAATAAGAAACAAGGGGATTTCAGGAGCTTGAGTTCTGTTTTCAGAGGTACAAACAAAAAACTGGGGCATCCGCACAAGATATCCCCTTTGTGCAAATGCACAGCTTTTAGTAAGTATGTTTTCCTTAGAGTGAATCACAACAAAGCTTTGGTGCACAAGACACAGCATTTAGAAAATGTCTTAACTCATATCCATAGACAAAATTACATAAAGCCACTATGGCATGGCTTTATTGCACCCTACTGTGGAAACAAAGGGTGAAGGCAGGAGTAGGTAACTCGTGTCCCTCTGGAAGTTGTTGGAACAGAATGCCTTTCATCCCTGTTCAATAGCCAGGCCAGCTGGAGCTGACTGGGAATGGAGTCCAACTCTTTCTGGAGAGCCACAGGTTCCTCAGAGCTGGTTAGAAAGAACATTCTGGTACCTTATTTTGTACTCTGTAATTATAAAACTAAAATGCCAGTGAGTATTTTTGCAACTCCATAGACCATGTAGTACAAAAAAGCCACCTTGGATACCTTTGTGCCTACTTTCGCCTTTCCATAAAGTATAAACAAAGGACAAATTAATTTCTACATATGACATGGATTTAAACAAAATTGTAAAAAGGTGTCCTTTGTGAAATTTTAAAACTAGGTGGTGTTTGAATGTTCTCTAAGGTGAACATAAACCCTTGTCTCATTCTTATCTCAATTATTTTGCTTTTCCATTTAATCTCAGCAGCTACTTTATGGTTTTGTTAATATAAAAACTAATCTCCTTTCACTTAGGATTTTCTCATACATTAAACACTAGAAATATTCATGCAGTCTTAACAATGGGTTTTAATACACAGCAGCAAGAAATTAAATATTGTGGTCCCAAAGAAGCCATAACTCAGGCCCTGAAGGCATATGCAATAATCTGTATTACTACAAGGAGAATAATTAAAAATAAAACATTTAAAGAGTTTTCTGTTGAAAGACACATTGCCATAGATATCTGCAGAACACAACACATATAGAGTCTTGTTTCCACTATGCACCAGCATGTGAAGTCTTACAAAATCTCATTTTTCAAGAGCTACCACTCTTAATTTGCCCTGCAAACCTATACAAATTTACATGAAGGTAAGTGCTACTGAACTATCTGCTACTTCTGAATAGACCTACATAGGATTGTGCTGTTTGTTATTAGTATAGGCTTTATTTCTTTCAGCATCTTAAATCATAAAGGAACAAACCATTTTTAAGATTGGGGTATGGACTGGAATAATAGCTTCAAATAATTGCACAGTATGAATATTTTTCTTGTAAAAAATGTAAATAGTCCTATGTAATTTTATTGTACAAGAGGCTACTAGATACCATACATGTCTTAAATATAAATCACTGTTAGAAACAGGAAAATAATGTAATTTACGAGTAGACACTAAAAAACACTGAAAGATACTGAAACCAGAAGTTAGAAACGTATTTTTACATATTTATCCCACATTCCATCCACAAGAACAGACCCCAAGGCACTTAATAATTAAAACACAATTCAAAATGATCAGTAATTAAAATACAAACTTTCATCTGCATACAAAACATGCTTAGATAGCCAAATCCTGTGGGAATGAATTTAGGAGTACAAACTAATTATTTTATGATCTACAACAAAAGGTCTCAGCCTAGAATTTACATACGTATCATACAAGAAGGAATCAGATGTTTCGAAACAAAAATTTACAAAACAAAATTAATAGAAAACATAAGCAATATGTACTTCTATACAGAATGCGTTTCTGTAATTCTCAAATTTTTACACTCTCTGCCTAATCAATGTATCCAAATATGTTATTCAGTTCTTTCCCTTGAAATTGATCAGCAACCAATTAATTGTTCTACGTAAGCAGGATGACTGTGTGGCCTCAGTGACTTGAAATTAACAAAGATTTCTCCCCCTTTGTACATGAGGCCTGTTGATATCCAGGAAGGTGTCAAATAAATATGGCACCAGCAATGTTAATGATCCGGCTCCTAACCTCTCTCCTTATGTACGGGGAAATTGCATTTATGGAACAGTCCTTCCATGGAGGACAGGCTGCCTCCGTTCATTAAGTGAAACTTTTGAGACCTAACCACTAGATCAGCGGTGGCGAACTATGGCCTGTGTGCCACAGCAGGCACGCAGAGCCAAGTTGCCCCAGTATCACCCCAGCAGCCGACCGTCGGGTAACTGTGCACATAGGGACCATGCGCATGCTTGGAAAGGAGTAGCGGTGCCAGGCGATGATGTCACAAGCTGCAAC